TTGTACTTGTTGAATGCTTCTAGTGAACATGCAGACGTCCCTAATAAGGACACCATTCGTCATTGCCACTCTCAATTTTACCCTCATGCCATAAGGGTCATCTGGTGGGCTTTATCATCATTGCCACGGATGGTCGGAAGATCTCATAACCGACTCAACCAAGTGGCTGCGAGGAATATTTGGTCGGCATCGAATCGGAGAGAAGGGCACACACCGCACTACTATTTTTCACCCTACATGGAAACATTAAGCTCAGCCTATATGTGTCGGACACCCCAGAGCCCAGCTAGGGATTGGAAGCGAGCACTTTGTATGGGTCTTCGAGAGATATGTTTATGGCGTCTATACCATGTCAATTGGCCGACAGTGGCTAAGGATGTGTTGAGGCCATGCCTCTAAGTGATGAGGAGGCAGGAACTTGGCAAATGATTGGTCTATGCAGGTCACGAGAGCGAGGAGCAATCTGTTTCGACACGACATTCTCTCCGGGCGGTCGAGCGGGCGATGTCCATGATTTTGTCGCTCCTACGGTGTCGCCAGCAAGGGAAGTCTCGCTAGCTCCCCCCCCCCCCCTCCTCTCAAGAAAGCATTAAGAGAATTTGAGGGAAGGTGAGGAAATCAAGCGTCGGCTTTCGCTCAGAAAAGTTTACGAGGGGATCTAATCCAAAGAGGAACGGGCAGTCTAGTTGAGGTCGAGGGCTGCTAAAGTCACTGCCCTCTGCCGGAGACGAAGGAGGCCGAGAGTGAAGGCAAGAAGGATCAAGGCAGTGGCCCAAATGGTCGACCGCGATGAGATTCAGCGATTAGCTAAAAGGCACCACACGTTTGATAGATCGCAAGTGGCAATAGGTATGTCAAGAACTATATAATCACCGAATAGAAGTCGGAAACCGTTAAATGCGGTCCTTTTTCTGCCCTGGCCTGCAACAGAAAGGCGGTGTGGCCCCAGACTGTCGAAAGAGGCAGTTGCGGGGGGTAGAGAACCAACATTGTCGACCCGGGGATAGCCGGGCAATTCATGGCCGCCTAAGTTCCGCCAGGCCTGGCAAGGAAGCCTGTTGGGATGTCCTAGAGGGGTCTGTTGACGAGCAAACAGTGCCTCCGGGAAGGCCACGATTAATTACAGATGAGATGGTGGATGTGGGAGTAAGTTTGCCATCTCTGCATGGGCTCGATGAGCTAACTCACTAATTCTAGGTATGTAGGGTTGGGGACCATGTTGCTGGAGATCCGTATTAAAAGACCCCCGCTCTTTAGCGATAGAGTCCTGAAAAGGTACAGTTGTCCTGGAGAGAACCCATGGATGTAGAGTCCTCGGTCATGCAGTCCTTAACTGCCGTCGATCGCGTTCTTTTTAGATATTCTGTACCCAGCTTTCTATCCTCTCGAAGGACAAGAGTCACTTGAAGGAAGTACCAACCGCTGTTTAGGGTAGTGCCTTGACTCTCCAAGGTTTACCTTTAATTTGATACGATGTGGGCTCTTACTAGACAAGCAAAGAGATTGTATTTCGATCCGGGATGATGGGTACATGCAATGAGCATCCTAGCTAGACCAAGGTGGCAACCACGAAGTATTTGGTTCCCGAAGAAGATTTCGGTCCACAAAGAGGTTGACATTAGAAGAGGATATGTGACTTAAGAGGTTCCGAAACTGAGAGGCAGTGGAGGATGTCTGAGCGAGGCAGGGCAAGAAACCTTGGCACTGAAATAGATAGAGCCTTTTGCACGGGCTACAGATCAAATTTCCAAGCACTTTGGTTCTGTTGATGATGGCTCCAGCGGGACTGAGTTTGCCAATTTCTGGAAAAGGGAAAGATGCAGCCGGCTGTAGCAAGTATCTACATACAGGCTGCATGCCCGACTAACATTCGCTTCTGACCGATGACAGGAGAAGGGTCAGTCGAGAAGCCACCTAAGGCGGCGTGCCTCAGAAGAGAGAGGACGCTTAATCAAGTAATCTTGAACCTCTCGACGGTCGAAGTACGTGAGAAGGACCTTTGAGGAGTGTGCTCGACTCCCCAGCGTCGCGACCATTGTCAAGGACTGGAGGGTCAGACTTGCTCATCTAGAACTTGGCCAAGCATGAAGGAGGTTGTCGAGATACCGGTTGACCAGTTGGCCTCTAGTGCAAAACTGAGGTCGCCTTCTGGCTTGCAGTTTAGCACGTCGATTATCTCGTTCACTCTCCCCTCTGGATCTCTTCCCTCCATAGGGCGGTAAAGCTCTATCGCACTGAGTGTGCCTCGTTGCTGCCTTGATCCTAGTGGCAGAAGTCGGGCGGCAAGTGGGGTGGGAATGGATCTCGAGCGCATCGAGGACGTATGGGCAGAAAGTTGATGGACGACAGTCAGGGGATGATCTGAAGAGAATCTCCCGCTTCCTCAACTGCAATGACCCCTGAAAGCCCTGCGACTCCGTTGGCCGTTCTGGAGTCCCCCAGTCTAGCTCACAATGTGGTCATGATGGTCTAGGGCGCTACTCATATTTTACTTCTCTTTTTTCTGTAAAGAACTGTAATGAAGTTAAATGCACTCAGCTAGAAATAAATTGACTTAATTCTATTTTTAGTCTGACTTTATTTACTCCTTTGCTTTAGCTTTGCCTTACTAACTTGTAGCTTTGTTTTGATGAGGAACCAGTTTGATCATGATGAGTCTGTCGTATTGTCGACTAACTGTAGTAGAAGGGCGGCGACCGACTTGTCATTAGTTCACCGTTTTAGGGATAACTTAATTGTCTATTGCTTTCCTGACTGGCTGTGTTATGGATCTTCAGAAACAAGACTTAGCATGAACTTATTTGCCAAGTCATGTGTCCGAGGACATTTCAAACTTAATTCTCAGCCTTAGGTTGTTTAAAATAACCACAATTTATCTATTTCGACAGGCAGAATGACAACCCTGAGGATTGATGCTCGAACTTTACGGGACGCCTAGGTCTTCAATATAACCAGGATGGTCGGAGAGAACGTCGAAGGATTGCGAACCATCATGGTGAAGTGCCTTGTGTTTACCCTGAGAAGAGGCCACAAGTTTCTTTGAATTCATCAAGTGAATTGCCTAGAACTTATGAGTTTGACTGGTCTTTTTAAACCTTTGGTTGTTGCCCCCATTGGACTTGCTAAAGACAACTAAGTTTCACGCGCCCAAACTTGCCTGAGTGAAGGCAGTCTAGTAAGATAGGAGAACCCTTTTTGAAGGTGCAGTGCCCAGTCTTATTCAACCATTACCTATTGGAGCCTGGTCTTCAAAAGAGTGCTTTCACATAGCATGTAAATACGAGATCAAGCCTCGAGGAGATGACCATTTAATGCTTAATGCTCACTGCCTTGGTATTGTCTAACAACCAGGTAATAAATAGGTTCTTAATATCAACCGAAGCTTAAATGCCTAGACTTACTGAAAGAATTGAACCTAAAACGGAACTATTATCGTCACCCATCGGATTGCGAGCGTTTCCCACTAGGGGCACAAATGGGTGAAAATGGCAACCCTGAGTTTGGAATGCCCAGGTCTTACGTGTTTAAGAACGCTTAGAGTATACTCGAGGAGTAACCAATAAATGTCAAAAAGGTAATTGTGGGAAGATTCGACAATATGGTGCAGTTCGTGCATTGGGTTTTTACACATCAATCAAAAAAGGCATCCAATTGATTTGTTTTTAGTATCTCAATTAGTAGGTTGAATGCCTTGTAAACTTACTGAAGTTGCTAGGTCTTTTAACCTGAGGTTGTTGTGCCTAGGATTTGTAAAGTCGATTAGGTCCCTGCATATGGGGGAGCGGACGTCTAGCTGCTGAAGGGTAATTAGGAAAGAGGAAACTCTTTAGAGGAATGGTGTCAGTCGCGATGACCCAGTATCTTTATCTTTTTGGGCTGCTTAGTGGCTTCAATTAATTCACACCAAGTAAAGACTGTCGTTAGCAAAGGGAACTAGTGAGAAAGTGGGCTAATACGGAATTTATGGTTAGTGTCTGTGTTTATTCCTAAAAAGTACCAGGACTTAATAGGCCAAACCAACCTGGAAAGTCTAGAATTCTGAGGTGATGTCTTCCCTTCCGGAACTTACATATGATATCATAGAGTGAGAGACGTAGCAAGAGAGAAGACCGCCCTAGGAGGGACAATAGTAAATGTAACCCTTAGGGTGGGGTCCCTAGGTTTACGTAAGACGCTGGTCTTTATGTGAGAGAGAGAGAGAGAGGTAGCGAAGAGGGCATGCTTATACTTCTGCGTCGAAAAGTGGTGTGGGAGTTGAGTTGCAATTTGCATATATAGATTTGTGGTTAGTTAAGTGAGACTGTAGGCACAATCACTTACTCAACTCATGTCCAAATGAGGGACCACATTTCAATACGTGTTGCTAATGAGATGATCTCATTGATGGATATGCAACCAGGAACAATGAGTGGAGAGTAGTTATGTTTGTAGGTCAGGATCGACTACAAGCACATTTTTTTGTGATATTACGTACCAAAGCATACCTATATTTCTACATTATATATATAGTATTCATTATTAATACCTATTATTATATATAATATATACATATATATACTCTATATATATATAATTTATGATATATATAAATTATATATAATATATAGAAATTTTTCTAAGGTAGACCTAGATTCCCACATAAGGACGCGTCAAAAATCAATATTCCTCTATTTTTTTTATCGGTCTGAACTGATCTGATGAACACTCTTAAACCCAAACACATTTCAATTTTGGTAGAAATGACATATCGTTACTGAGAAAATTCTGTTTGACCCTTCATGCGCATTCACAGCAATTTTAACAGGTTGAATGAATAGAACTTTTACGACGGCCTCAACGAGTTTATAAGGGTCAAAACACGCCGCGGAGTTTCTCTATAATATATTTATATATATATAAATATATATAATATTATATATATAGTATATATATAGTAATTTATTTATTTTAGAGAGACGAGAGAGAGAGAGAGACGTAGGAAGAACAGTATAACGTCTCACCATGAACTGCAAACTAGCCAAGCTCCCATAAGGGATGAAATCCGTGACCAAGAGCTTCTCCTCTTTCCTATAGTAGTAAGCCACCAAAGGCAACAAATTAGGATGAGACAACCTTCCGATCCTCCTCATATGCTGTTGAAATTCCTCTTTCCCCAACCTATTCATTTCCTTAAACCTCTTCACAACAACAGCGGGGCCATTTAGCAACAGGGCCTTGTAAGATGACCCAAACTCTCCACTGCCCAGAACCTCCGCGGAGGCCCGTAAAAGATCCTGGAGCCCAAAATTCTCCCTCCTCCCCTCGTTCAAAAACACAAGGTCCCCTTGGCCTCTGTCTCCGTTTGCTGCCGTCGCCTTACTTTTGCTGCTTCCCTCTGCTCTGCCTCGGCCCACACATGAAGTATCCGACGTTCGGGGCTTTCGAAACGGTGAAGCCCCCGGCCCGTGCTTCTTTTGCCCGTTCTTCGCTCCCGCGCGTCTCATTGACGAGGAAGGCGACGCCGATGATTCCTAATGCAACAGCCAACGCTGACTTACAATGCATCGCTCAGCGACGAGGTCGGGGAGGGCTTTTTGGACGGTGACGACGATGGCCGACGACGGCGGAGATCTCAAATCCGGGCTTGGGATTTCGTCGGCGGACCGCATAGGCCCTTGTTACCTAAAATTTCAGACGAAGAAGCCCATAAGTACGAGGTCCGTGCAACAACAAGGGCCCAATTCAAAGTTTTATTTAGCCTCACCTCCTGCAAACATGCTGGGGTCCATCGCGCTGAGCCTGGGAGGAATACTCCCCTCCAAATTATTATTCGAAACATTCACCACCTGCAGATCAGACTGCTGGAAATTCGGGATCTGGCCATCAAATCCGTTGTAGTCCACCCACAGCTCCGAGAGAGAATTGACCAGGACGAGCGAGCTCGGTATCCTGCCCGAGAACTTGTTTCTCGACAGGACGACCTTCTTCAGCGACCGCATGCCATCGAAAGCGTCGTCCCGAATTCCTCCGGTGAAGTTGTTCGCAGACAGATACACATTTTTCAACCCCTTGAAGTCCCTCACGCCGGGCATGGGCCCGGTGAACCTGTTGTTGCTGAAGCTCAGGGTCCGAATCGACGGCAGGTCGGTCAACGGGCCCAGGTTCAGTGGACCAGAAAGGCCCATATTCTCCAGTTGGAGCCCGTATACCTCTCCGTCACCGTTGCAAATGATTCCAGCCCACTTGGGTTCTCGACACGGGCCTGAGTTCTGAGTCCAGCCGTCCAAGGACCCCGAGGGGTCCGCTACAGAATCCTTGAATTTGAGGAGCGTGGCCGCATCGGATGCGTCGTCAGAAAACGAAAGCCTGAAAAGGACGAACAAAAGTGAGAGAGAGAGAGCCAAGTGCCGAGCTTCAGCGTCCATATGAGGGCTTCAATCACAGTGGAGAAAGATCAGTAGGCTTTTGGTATGCCAAGTATGGAGAGGGTATTAATTATTAGGAGATCGAGAAGAATTCTGACGGGGTCGTCTAATCTCCAAGGCCTGCCTGCAGAGGAGTTTGAGCTTTTGTAAAGACACGGAAATATTGGCCGGCCTTCTCAGCACGTAACGCGACGAGAATTTCGCCAAATGTTTGCTAAGGTGTCTGGTTTTTTTTTTTATTCTTTTTTTGTGTTGCTTGTGCTAACAAAATTAGCGCTAGTTATTATGTGATCGAGGGGGGTAATTTGTTGGCAAGTCAGTATTTTATGCTCTCTTGCCGCCTACAAGACATTGGTATTGGAGGACATGATTTGGCTGACGACAAGATTAAAAAAAGTATTAAAAGTTGGAGGATTTATGATAAATAATCAAACAATCGATAGATTGTATTTATGACAAACAGAATTCAGGAAAATGTATTTATGACAAATAATCAAATAATCGATAAATTGCAGCTGTTAAGCTTTCTCAAGCTTTGTGAGATATTATTAATTAAGTATGATTTGGATTATCAGGGTGTGAAGAATCAGGATCCTGAGTATTTAACCTATAAATCACCAGAAAGGATAACAAAAACTTTGTTTTCTCAACATAGCTGGAATTGAAGCAGAAAAAGATGTACGTAAAGGTGCATATTTGCATAAAATGGAAATATCGTCAAGAATGATTATATATGGGGAACATTGTTGACTATGTAACATGAAAATATTCCCTCGGAGGATACACCAGACGAACGTGGCAGGCTTATTGTTACAAACTTGCGGTAGGTAGGTATATATATAAAGAGAGAGAGAGAGAGAGAGAGAGAGAGAAATTGGGAATGCTTGGTATTAAGCACAAATTTTGTGCTTGGTAGTGAGGTGTCCTATTTCTATTCACTCATTCCAATTCTCAACCATTCCCTAACCCATGTGAATGTGGGCCCTAATTTCAATAAGTGGAGGAGAATATGCCACCTCACTACCATGAACAAAAACTTGTGCTTGGTAACAAACATATCCATTTTTCTCATATATATATATATATATATATATATATATATATATGGGCTACACCCAATTTAAATTTTCATGTTGATATTTGAATTGATAGAAAATAAATATAATTTGAAGCTAATTTAAATTTTTATATTATTTTGACTGACATGATACCAAGCTTTACTTGCGAAAGTACAGTGTTGCAAAAGTAAAAAATATTAAAATAATGTTATAGAAGAAAGATGAATATTTAAAACCAATAAGTCAAAATGATTGGTTAAAAGTATACTAAAACGATACAAAAGAAAGATGAATATTTAAAACCAATAAGTCAAAATGATTGGTTAAAAGTATACTAAAACGATACAAAAGAAAATATTAAGTTTGTTCCTAATCATTGATAGACTTCATAAGAAATTATAAATTAAAGATTAATGCTAACTCTAGTATACTTTCATATGATAAAAGCATCTGCACAAGCATATAAAAATACTGAAATACGCTCATAAAACTCTCTTCTAAAGATTCATAAATTCACTCAAAACAATTAAACTGTTCTATAAAATATTCAAAAAATATTATTTTTTATTCTTTCTATTTTATTTTTTTATTGAGCTAAAATCAATCCTTTCTCACCTTTATCTTTTTTCACAGACAATTCTAGAGTAGTATTTTCATCATCTACTCGATTGTGGCATCATGCTAGAGTTGTATTTTTTGTGTTGTTATCTTTCTTGGGTTCGTTAATCTTTTATCTTATCATTTAACTTCACAAAGAAGTTAAATGTATTTCCGATGTTCAACACAAACTTTTTAAAATACAGACTTTGATTTTTTTTTCAATGAGAATAAATATTAATCTCATATATAAAAAACTCTTTGTGTTTCTAATTTATTACTTAAATAAGATTAGGAGTTACATCTTTTTCTCTACAGTGAATTCTTCTGATGTGCATCCAATAAGAGTTTCTGTTACGTCAATAATATTACATTTGCTCTATTCCTATCATTTTTTACAAAGATCTAAACTAAATACCTATATTTTTATTGCTAATTTGCTTTAGATTATAATATTAATATTTAATTTTTTTAGTATTTGAAGAGCAAAGTATAAAATTTATGAATGCTTACTAATTTTTCTTATATCTTCTATAGAGAATTCTCCTCTGATTGGGATAAAATTTTTAAATTATTCTTTAATGTAACTCAGTTAGTGCTTCTTTAATAGACATGCCTTATGTTAATGCCAATTCAAATAATTCATGAACGTTTTCTGAATTTTAGATTTATTTTCGTCATTTTCCCATTTGTAATGAAAATAGCTTGATTCTTTTGAAGGATATCTCTGAACATTCTGATAATATCTCCATACGTAATTCATTATATTCGTTTACTCTATAAATATTATTAACATCAAAGATTAATATTTCTAAATTATAATCAATTAATGCTAAGCTATTATATTATAGTCTTTATCATTTTTATGGATTTAAACTTCTATTAATTAATATTACTAATATGTTTTGCTGCTCCAACTTATTAGTAAAAATTTACACAGTTGCTTTAATTTATATGATAATGATAATTTTAAGCTATAATATTTTTTAAATTTTTATTCCCTAATTGGATATTTTTAATCAATTCTTATTGCTTTTGTTTAACATTTAACAACTACACTTTTCTTTGCCAAGTTTTAAATTTTTAGCCCTTTTTATGGTTTTAAACTTTGAGGGTGTGATTAGTAATTTTTAAAACTTTAGGAGCATTTTTAAAAATTACTTTTAAGTTTGGTAGTTGTAATTTCTATGTTTCATGTGTCGGTGGTAATTTTTAAATGTCACGATATTTTACAACTCTGAAATTTTGAAGCTGCTTTTTGCAATTGTTAAAACTATAGATTAATTTTTAAAAATTTTAAATTTTAGTTGTCTACCAATAGTTTTCAGATTTGATGTGTAATGGTTATAAAATTTTAAAATTTTAGAGTTTTTTATGAATTTTAAATTTTAAAAGAGTTTTTTCTACAACTTTTGTAAATTTGAGGTTAATTTCGGCAAATTTTAAATTTTTAGGTGCATGAAGGTAATCTCTTTAATTCATCTTTTATTGTTTGTAAATTTTAAAATTTTAAAAATTTCAGGGTTGTTTTTTATAATTTGAATTTTTGAATGTGTTTCTTTAATTTTTGGGATATTGAGGGTGTTAATTAAAAATTTTAAATTCTGCTATTATTTTCTTGATTTCATGTTTATTGTTTTAAGGTTTGAAATGTCAAATATTTTTAGGTGTGTTATGGTAATCCCTTGAATTCATCTATGTTGTTTGCAAGTTTAGAAAATTTAGAATTTTAGGTGTTTGTTTGTAATTTGAACTTTTAAGGGTGATTCTATAATTTTTGAGATATTGAGATGTTAACCATAAATTTTAAATTCTTCATAAACTGCTGTTAATTTCTTGATACTTGTTTGTTGTTTTAAGTTTTTAGACGTCGAAATAGTTTTTATAATTTTGAACTTTTCAGGGTATTTTGTGCAAATTTTAAAACTTTTTAGGTTTTTTACAATACTTTATGTATACTAGTACGTTAGCTACGTATAATTTCTTTATCTTAACAAACTAATACAAGATGTTTTATATATTTTATTAATATTATTTTTTTTAAATTGTCAAGCTCTAAATAATTCACATAGGATTAGGATAGGATATAATTATGATTAGGATAGATTAAGATATAAATAAAATATTTAAAACAGTGAATGATAATACTGACCATAGAAAATTTTTCTCAAACTCGTGCTTTTAAAGAGAGTATGATATACTCGAAACAAAAGAAAATTTTAAGTATAAATTATGTTGAGCTATGCTCATCATAGGGTTACATTAATGATTCCATGTGATAAGAGGGATCATACATACATCATAGAGCAAAAGGGTAACATTCTCTTGGTCGACGCATTAGTTGGGAGAGACTTTATATGCAATTTTCTCTGTAAATCAGGTGATTATGTAATATATTTACGGTCTTATATAAATACGGATCGGACGATAACCCAAGCACTCAACCGGGATGAGTGCTACCTCCGAGTCAATCCAAACGGATGGTGGGGGCCCACGAACGTAACAGTTCGGATTTTTTTTTTTTTTTTTTTGCATTCTTAAATAGTAGAGAACTCTTAATATTGGTTTTAGTGAGTCCTATATTAAAATATTTTTTATATAATTTTGTAATGAATATAATTTATCGTGTCATTAGAGTGAGGATATATGATAGGAGAATTATAGACTCTCTAAAGATGTGGAGGATCCCTAGTTACATGAATTTACCCTCATAGTCAGCTACGGACATGTCTCACTGCTCTAATCTGGATAACTCTAACTCCTTCTCGGCCTTTGCCGCGGAAGAGACGTACTGTTCGTCGAAAAAGTAAATGAAGTCCTCCCAAGTAAGTGTCATTTCCTGCTTTGGGGTAAACTGAAGCATGTACCATCACCGGCATCACCGTTAAGGCTAAAAGCTGCTAACATCTACTTCTGGACGGAGTCGACATCAAGTAAATCAATAATGTTTCCCACATCTTCTTTTCACTTGTGGGTGGCAAAAGAATCTGATGTACCCTGAAATTATAGTGCCCTTAACTTCCGATATCTCTCCACTAATCGGATCCAAGCCTCCAGATATGCGACCCTATCAATGGCTAGTAGTGGATCTTCTGCAAGCGATCCTCTGGTGGTGGAACCTACGAAGTCTGATTTGGAGTCGCTACACGCTCCTCAAGTGCAGCAAGTCTGGGGGCTATCAGCACTATGAGGTCGATCAAACACTACGGAGTCTGTTGCGGCTCTGGCTCTAGCTCAACTTGCTAGCTCCCAGAGCACAAGTTCCTCTCCGACCATACCCTCGTCCTGACATATGAATATTTTAGGGAGAGAGCTTATAAAACACAGTAAATAAGACCTTAAGCAAAAATAACATAACATATAGCAATAAGGAAGGCGTATCACATATTATTCACGCAAATACTTTATAATCAAAGTAAGATAGGTATATATAAA